CACAATGTATCAATACCGGAGGGACCGGGCTTTCCCATAGGGGAATCTCTGACAACAATCCTCTCAACCAACTTGCTTCTTCACTAGCTGTTGCTAGTGCTATCATCTCTGATTCCATAGTTGATTGAGCTAGGATTGTTTGTTTCTTTGACTTCCAAGACACAGCTCCACCAGCGATGTTAAAAACATATCCGCTGGTTGCCTTGGAGTCATCTGATAGGGTATTCCAATCCGCATCACTGTACCCTTCTAGTACAGCGGGAAACCTTTGATAGTGTATACCAAGGTTTGCTGTTCTCTTGAGGTATCTCATGACCCTCTCTATAGCATTCCAATGCTCTCTACTAGGACAGCTGTTAAACCTGCCAAGCAATCCCACGACATATGCAATGTCTGGTCGAGTGTAATCCGCAGCATAACGGAGACTGCCAATGATGCTAGCATATTCTGTTTGTCTTACACTGTCTCCAGTGTTCTTGAATAGCTTTACACTAGCATCATACGGAGTACACGCAGGTTTACAGTCGAAATAGTTATACTTCTTCAAGATCTTCTCTATGTAACTAGATTGATCTAGAGAATAACCATTTGCTGTTCTAGTTATCTGGATTCCAAGCATAAACTTTGCTTCTCCCAGATCTTTCACCTCAAAGCTCTCTTTTAACATGGCTTTCGCTTCATTGACCACGTGAATATTTGTACCAAATATCAACATGTCATCTACATACAAACATATGATAGTGCAAGTGCTATTCTCTGTCTTGCAGTAAATACACTTGTCACTTTCATTCACCTTAAAGCCATGTGAGAGAACGAGTGTGTCAAACTTCTCATGCCACTGTTTTGGAGCCTGTTTCAAACCATATAATGATTTGTCCAACTTACAGACTTTCGAGGCATGTTCAGGGATAACAAACCCTTCTGGTTGTTCCATATAGATTTCTTCATCTAGATCACCGTTCAAAAAAGCAGTCTTAACATCCATTTGGTGTACCACGAGATTGTTCAAAGCAGCAAGAGCAATCATGACACGAATGGATGTTATTCTAGATACTGGTGAATAGGTGTCGAAGAAATCTATATTCTCTCTCTGCCTGTAGCCCTTGACTACTAGGCGAGCTCGGAACCTTTCGATTGCACCATCAGGTTTCCGTTTCGTTTTTAGAACCCATTTATTACCTAAGACTTTGCAGCCAGGAGGTAAGTCTGTTAGATGCCAAGTCTTATTAGCCTCTAACGATTCCATTTCATCTATAACGGCTTCATTCCAAAAGTCTGCATCTATGGAAGTTAGTGCTTCCTGCAAACTTTTTGGATCCTCTAGGGTGTATACTGTAGTAAAGTCATCACCAAAATCTTTAGAGATTCTAGCTCTTTTACTTCTTCTGAGTTCATCCTCAGATCCAACACCCCCACTAGTTCCGTTATCTCTAATAGCGGGTAGTACATTACCCCCACTATTTCTCGTTTTAAATGGAAATCGTGTCTCAAAGAAATCAGCATCAATGGATTCTATTACAGTACGAGCATTCAAATCATAGAATCTATATGCCTTACTATTGGCCGCATAGCCAACGAAGACACATTCATATGCTCGACTAGCCAACTTAACCCTCTTAGGATCAGGAATTCTTACGTAGGCCAAACAGCCCCACGTTCTTAAATAGGACAGATTAGGTGGCTTATTCTTCAAGATCTCATAGGGTGATTCTTTTCTATTTGTTTTTGGAAGACGATTTAGCACATAGCAAACCGTCAACAAAATATCACCCCACCAAGAAGAAGCAGCTCCAGAATTGAGCATAATAGCCACAACTAATTCTGTAAATGTCCTATTTTTCCGCTCAGCTTTACCATTCATTTCTGGTGAATATGGTGCCGTGGTTTCATGAATGATACCATGTGAGCTATAGAATTCCTTGAAGGGATTAGAGTCATACTCTGATCCTCTGTCGCTCCTAAGTCTTTTTATCTTTCGATTGCACTGATTTTCGAATTCAACCACAAATACCTTGAACATGTCAAGGGCTTCACTTTTGTTTTTCATCAAATAAACAAAGCAATAATCAGAGCAATCATCTATGAAAGTGATAAAGTATCTCTTGCCAGACCTAGTTAACGTCTCATCTAGTTCACAAATATCAGAATGAATCAGATCTAGGGGTTCTGATTCTCTACTCACAGATTTATGGGGCGTTTTCGTTATTTTAGCTTGGCTACAGAAATCACATTTATCAAATTCATTCATTGAGAGTTTAGGGATATGTCCTAGCTTGCTTAAATTCTTCACAATTCGTGTGTTCACATGACAAAGACGAGCATGCCAAACATTCAAATCACACACCATGTAAACTGAAGAATTCATCTTATTAATTTCGACATTCAACTTGAACATCCCATTACATGCATATCCCTTTCCCACAAAACTCCCATTCTTAGTAAGGGTATACAAGTCTGCCCCAATAGATTGATTAAACCCAGCCTTATTAAGAAGATATCCCGAAACAAGATTCTTCCTTATCTCTGGAGTGTGCAACACATCCTTGAGCACCATCTTCTTCCCAGAGGTGAAGTTCAGCTCCACTTCACCAGAACTAGCAACCATAGTGGTGTGAGTAGTCCCCAACAACACTTTCTTGTCAGCAGGTGCTTCTTCATATGTTTTAAACATAGCACGATTGTTGCATACATGCTTCGATGCACCTGTATCCAGCCACCATCCTTCTGAGTCACCAGTGAGGTTAACTTCAGCGATCATATCTGTGATCATGGCTACCAAATCCTCTTCTGTCAAGTTAACCCTGGCTGCAGCGGCGGGGTTATTCTTGTTCCTGCACTTTTTTGCCATATGAACCGGTTTTCCGCAGTTAAAGCAGATAAACGGTGGGTCATTCTTAGAGGTTTGGGCCATGACCCTTTGGTTACCTCGAGGGGCACCATTCTGGTGGGGGCGGACCTGCTGGTTCTTACCCTTAAACCCTTTCTGGTTAGGTTTAAGAGCTCTAGGGGTGGGTCGTTTAGCAGTGACGACCATCACCTCTTCTTTCATATCCTGCTTGCGGGACTCTTCCTCAATCCTTAGGCGAGTAATCAAACTTTCCAGTGAAAATTCTTTGGTTTTATGTCTAAGCATATTCTTAAAATATTTCCACGAAGGGGGCAGCTTATCAATAATGCAAGCAACTTGAAATTGATCGTCCAGAGGCATACCTTCAGAGACGATCTCGTGAGCTATTTTCTGAACTTCGACAGACTTGTCATCCACCATCTGGTAGCGCAGGTAGCGTCTAACAGCGTACTTCTTAGCTCCAGCCTCCTCCGTGTCGTACTTCTTTTGGAGCGCATCCCAGACCATCATTGCGGTGTTCTTGCTGTCCGCATAGTAGTCGTAGAGGTCGTCTGCCAGGCCGTTGAGGATGTAGCCCTTGCATAGGAAGTCATGCTCCCTTTCCTTAGCAGCAGCAGTCCTCTCCTCATCGGTCGCTTCTTCCGGCAGCTCGACGGGCATGCTAGTGAGGCAGTGTGCCAACTTCTTGGTCGTCAGGTAAAACTCCATCTTTTGTTTCCAGCGACGAAAGTTGACTCCAACGAAGCGAAACGGTCGATTGATATCGACAGCACCAGATCCGGCCATGTTGTTCTGTTCAGTCGACATAGCAGCAGCCGAACGTCTTAAAGTTGTTAGAAACGGAACAACAAGAAGATGAGGATACCGAATCTGGAGCTGAGTCGCGGACTAGGTCGCTCTCTTTAAGACGTTCGCGGCACTGCCCTCGATGCGCACGGCAGACTATCAACCGGTCGTCTCCAGGATAAAACAGCTCCTCTTGCTTGGGGAATAAGTCGGATTAATTAAGGAAGATAATTACTTCCTTAATTAAAACCGTCGGTTAGGATAAATCCTGCAGAGATTATCCTTCGAATATTCCTTTTCAATCGATTATCCCTTAGAATATTCCTCAGAATAACTGATTAATAATTAATTATATAATAATTAATTTCGTTCGGAATTTCTCCAAAAAATATGTATATAGTCTCAAGTGATCCATCCATCCAACCGACCGACCGGCACGCGCGCGCGTGTGTGTGGTAGTCCGTTAGGTCCTCCCTCTCCCACAAAAGTGGGTCACCCCAAGGGGCATGCCCTTAGGAGAGAGGCTCCTATCTTTATACTCATTTCACCAAGTAAAACTACCAATGTGGTAGTTTTTCCACTTGAGACTCTATAGCTTTCAAAGCTATTCATACACATTTCCAACAGAGACAGGGTCGTGGCTTTTGCCGGTCAACCCCGCTGCCGCATCAGAAATCCTCCGGGATCTTATTCGTCTGCTCCCGCCGCACCCTCCTGGACCCAATCTTCCTCTCTGCCGCCCTCGGTTGCTCCATCCCTGTCTTCGTCTACTCCGTATCCCGCCTCTCCGATAAATCTTAAACCCGGGACGCGGAAAAGTGGAGCTTCACGAGAAACTTCGGTACAGTGGACAAACAGGTAACACAATTATTCAGCAAGGGGAAGTCGTTTGTGGGATTGGAGAAGAAGGCGAAGAGGAACCCTAAGGAGAGAAGAGGTAACGGCGAAGAAGGGAAGGAAAGAAAAAACAAGATAAATAATTGGAGAGGGAGATTCAGATATGGAGGAAGCGGATCCAGGAAGAAGGGACCACTAGATATGGTGTCTCTACCCGAATCAGCCGGCAGAGCTTCCGCTATTCTATTTCACACAGCCAAACGTCATCACCGCACTCAACTCCACCTAACAATACAGCTCCTCCTCGATTAATTCTCAACCCCCGACCCTAGACGCAATCAGCTACAGCTTGTGGAGGGGAACGAAGAGCCAGAGTGCCTCCGCTGGCTTGACACGTAATCTACGCTAATTTCGGAAGCATCACCACCATGTCCAAACAGCATCTGATCGAATTCGCCATGGGCTTCGTCAACAGCAAGGTCTCGTTCCTCTAGGTCATCCGACCCATCTTGTCATAGGAGAGTCGGCGGCTCTTCCTCCGGAATTTCAGGAGAAGGCGGAGAGGGTCGTTTTCATCTCGGGTTGGTACCCGCAGGAGGAAGTTCTGAACCATCCGGCATTTGGAGGATTTTTGACGCATTGTGGTTGGGGATCGATCATCGAGAGCTTGCCACCGAGTTTCGATGCTCTGCTAGTCGTTCTTTGACGACCAGCCGATAAACTGCAGGATTGCGTGCACGGAGTGCGGGATCGGGATGACGATAGAGAAGGACGTGAAGAGCGGCGGTGAAGAAGCTGGTTAGGGAGATAAGGAATGGAGAAGAGGGGAATGAGATGAGGAAGAAGGTGGGGGATTGCCACTGAGCTAGGTGGATCGTCGACCATCAATCTGGACCGTTTAGTCAAATAAATTATTTTCATTTATCTATAGTTGTAATGAGGTGGAAAATAACAATAAAGGGATTAGGATTTTTTTTTAATTTTTATGATAATAAGGTGGAAAATAAAAAATAATTAAATTTTGTTATTTTTTTATTGCTACATCACTCATTTAACGGTCAACTACAAGAGTTTATGGCCAGTGACTAAACTTAGATTGTTAACCTAATTTAAGTGACTACAGATGAAATAAATTAATTTTAGTGGCAAACTTGAACTTTTATAGTAATTTTAAGGAAAAATACATCTGTAGAGCCAAAATTTTGGTGTTTGTGACAATAATAGCCACTTTTGGAGAAATACACAAAATAGTCAATTCCGTCCAATAGTTTAACGGTGTAGTTAACAAGCTGACTTGGCGATATTTTAATTAGTGATAATCCACAATAATTGAATAATATTAAATAAAGTAATAAAGTTACTTGGAAAAAAAGGTACGTGAAGAGCCATATCTCTTCACTATGCTTCCGCCACTTTCAACCCCCCACACCCCGCCGACGTCGAAAGCCTTCTTCTTGTTCCTGATTTTTTTTTCATTCTTCTTCTTCTTCCAGATTTGTTTCTCACCATTCAAGCATCTCATCTCGCTCAATTCACTCCACTTCCCAGACCAACTATAGCAATCTCTGTCAAAATATTCAACATTAACCAACCGAAATCTTTGCCGCCACTGGGAAGCGCCGCCTCCTCTCGCCATCACCATCTCCTTCCATTATTTATGCAACACCCAGATCTATCACAGTCGGATATGAGGGATACGAGTTGGGAATAACGAGGGGGCTGAACAAAACCACCAGATCTAGGCGGTTTTCAAAGATGCGGCCGCCGGAAATCGACAATAAGCAGAGGGGACAAGCGAATCGCTAGAGCCAAAGCAGTTGATTTTGGAGACTTTCTTGAGGACGCAGAGGTCCTGGGTCTAGCACATGGGCTCCTCGATCTGCTTGGTGACTCTCGGCCTCCGCCACTAGTACTCGGCGGCGACGAACAGGGGCAAGGTTAGAGGCGATGTAGAAGAGCAGCGGGTTTTTTTAGAGCGGATCTCGCCACATCCTCCTCCTCTGAAGTTAGAAACAGAATGCGCCTGATGAGAAGGATTGGATTGTGCTTGTGAAACAGTAGGGCACAGTCGGCAGGGGAATTTTTGAATTGGGGATTTTTTGTTTGAATGGGAAGAGGAAGAGAAGGGTAACGGAGGCGATTCTTCTTCTCGATGATTTTTCTGGATTTAGTATTCGAGGAGATGGTGGCTGACCACTGCTCGGCGCCGCTGTCAGATTCAGATAGGAGATGAATAGTGGGGAATAGGGGAAATTAGAAAAAAGTATTTTCTGCTTTTTTTTTAGTTTCAAAATTATTTATTTTTATAAATCAAAATGATGTGCAATGATATTGATGACTTGTCGCTGATGTGTGGGATGATTTGGCATCCTATTCAGTCTAACGTTAACATAACTGACGAAGTTTCTAACACCGTCAAACTTTTTAACGGAAATGGCTATATTTGTCATGAAATTTCAAAGTTCTGAACTTCTGATTATTTTGTATTGTTGATGCCAAGCTTAGAGCAGCCTGCTTCAATATGTTTAAGGTCCGGAGAGCGCTGATTTCCCAAAGCCTTTAACCACCTCCAGCTCCGTGCGAATACCTGAAAAAAAAGGTCCCACCGGGGGGGTCCTGGTTGGAACCTCCTCCGACGCTCAAATTAGTAATCTGAATGGAATAAAATAAATACGATGACGTTAGACCTGGTTCGGTCCCACGGTCGTAATTGAGCGTCGTCGGCTATTTAATGCCGCCTGGTGGAGACTATCCACGATTCCATGGCTTAGTCCGCCAAATTGAGGGTGTGTTGAGTGTTTAGAGGTTTAACACGTTTTGGGAGACCGAGAGGAGAGAGAAAACGTTTTTAGAGAGAGAAAGTAGAGAGAGTGTATGTGTGAGTTGTGTTGTGTGAAGTAGTCGTAAGCGACTTATGTGGTGGTGTGTGTGTGTGAATTGTTGTTTAGAAAGGGGGAGGGGTGCTCCCTATTTATAGGAAAAAATAGTAATTGAATTCCTCAACTTACGTTAACATTCACCAACATTCTCCGCTATACTCCAATATTCTCCGTCATACACCAACATTCCTTATCAAGTATAGTATTTGAGAAAGTGTAAGGGTGTATGTGAAAGTAGGAGAAGTATAGATATGTAGTGGAAATTGAGGGAAAGAGTAGTGATGGAAATTGTATGTATGTGTATGCATGAACATGCATGAAAATGTAGGAAATGGTAGGGAGAAGAAGGAATTTTACGTAAGAGGGAGTGTGGAAAGAAATAGGAAGGGAGGGAGATGAGGTGGCGCCTGCCACTTGTGGGAGAAAGGGAAGGAAAGAGGAAGAAAGTTGGGGAAATGGTGTCTGTGTCTTATTTCTCATGTGGACACATGTGGACAAAACAAATGGGTGAGAGGGAAAAGGAAGGAAGAATAAGACAAAAACAATGGTTATGGAAAAGTACAAATAAGGGGTTAAGGAAAAAATAAGAAAGTGAGTAAAGGAAAAAAAACAATAACAGTAGTTAAAGGAAAAAAACAATGAAGGATTCTGATGGTATAATACAAATTTTCGGGTATTTCGGGTACCGCAATAATTAACAATTTATCGAGTGTATTAATGAAAGGGCAGGTGTTTAATATTTTTAAAATTTTATCGGTTAAGAACTGGGTCTATCAATTGCCCCCCTTACCGATAGAAAAATTCGGAGTTCGTCCGGACATTTTCTGACGGTAAGTCGGTATTAGACCCAGTCTCAAACGCTGCTCCTATAAATACCGGAGCGGAGGAAACATAATCCATTCTCCATTTCCCAACCTCCTGCTCTCGTACTTCTCCTCCCATCTTTTCATTTCTTACAAAGCAAAAACAGTTCACTACCCACAGTAAACTCTTGTTTCAATATTCCTAAAGTAAATTCTCATTTTACCTTCAGTAAAAATGGCGAGTTTACCTTCATCATCACGAGATAATCAACATTTAATGATTATACCGCCTTCCACTGTTGTGGGGGCAAGAGTATCGGATGCCAGTGGGTCTCGAAATATAGCACCTAACCCACTGGGTTTTAATGTCTGCCCATGGGAGGTGATCTCTTGCTCGAGTGCCTCCGGAGTACCCAGTAGGTGGCCTGGGACGTGGTTTTACACAAAGTGAAAAGTGGTTACGTGAACTGTTGGTTTCGTATGGTATGCCTCATCACTGGAGTTATGCCATACCCAACAGACTTGTTTCGGCTGTAAGTCACCCATCATCATGGCGATCGCTTTTTCGTTCTTCTCTGGAGTATGGGTTTCGATTGCCCCTGCCTACATGGTTGTGTGTAGTAATGCACCGTAGTAAGCTTTCAATCGATTCTGTTAGTCCTCGTTTTTGGACTTTCATCGCTTGTTTTATTTTGTCATGTCGTCGAGTTGGGGTTCCGCCATCCCCCGAGTTGTTTTATGCTTGTTTTTTCTTTCGTCATGATCGAGTGGCTTGGGAACTGCATAAACGGAAGTCAGCCAATAACCTTTGCACTTCGCTGAGCCATCTGAAGGGGTCGTGGGAGACGGAATTTTTTTATTTTCTTGCCCCACCTAGTGAGTTTACCTCCGGAGGTATCACGGTTCCAGCTGACTGGAGTGAAGGTGTTACAGGTGGATTTCAGGATCCCGTGATTGAGGGAGAAATCGCTTTACAACATGATCGGCTTCTCCGGGAGAAACCCATTGATATAAGTACTCCTGGGGCTCGAGCAAGCTTGTTTCTTGCTGTTTATGGTAAAGGTACGTCTTTTTTTTTTTTTTACAGTACTTCCCTTTTTGTGACCATATTTTCTAACTGTAATCCTTCCTTGCAGATTACTCGCACTTTCAGAGGTGTATGAGGAATAGAGAAGTGCCAGCAGTGCCTCACTCGTATGTCGGGGTGTCAATTCGTGAGAGACCAGATAATCCCCCGCGTGGACGGTCGAGAGTTCGTCATGACCAGTCGAAGAGAACTCGTTCCTGGGTGAGAGGATCAGGAGATTCCCCTACTGGGAAGGGTCGCTCTGAGGGGAGAGCCAGGGATGCCAAAGGAAAAACCCCAGTGGGCGGTAGGGGAATCTTGAAGCATCAGGGGGAGTCTTCAAGAGCCAACAAAGGTGGAATTTTGGCTGGTGGTGTCATAACTTATGACAGTTTGTGCGATGCGGGGAAACACTATCCCGTTTTAGAAGATGTAGCCACAGGATCGACTTTTGCTTCTTCTATTTCAAAGGTGCTTTTACGTTCTTCCTTTGTTTTTTGGTCTTCAGCTTGTATATGATACATTGACGTTGTTATTTTGTGAATAGCTGGCGAGGTACGCTGTTGCCATGGAGTGCCGCCTAGCTATGGCAGAGCTTCGGGTTACTGAGGCCCGAGAGGAGGCAACTCGTTCTTTGGACGAAATGAGAATCCAGATGAAGACAAGAGAGGAGCAATTTTCTTCCAAATCTTGTGAATGGGATGCAGACATGGTGGAGGCTCAACAACATGTTGAGGTAGCCACACAGGAGCTACGTTCCTCAGAAGCAGCTGAGGCTAGCCTTCGCGAAAAAGTTGAGCAGCTTCACGCCAGTATGCGTGAGGAAAGGCTAATAAGGAGGTCTTTACGGTCGGAGAATACTGGTTTACACTCAGAAAATACCACGCTTCGATCAGAGAATAATACTCTACGTCATCAGTTACAGATGGCGATTTCGGGAGTGATGGATAATGTCCATCGCCTGGCCAGAAGGGCAATTTATTGTATGTATCTTGCGAGAGATATTGATGACACCCGCCTTCGTCAAGTGGTGGAAGAATGTGCGACTACTTTGGAACCTGAGGAGGTGACATCCCAAAATATGAATGTCGTCGAGGAATGCGCTGGTGCTCCTCAGTCTGGGGAAGCAGCAAACCAAATTTCGAATGGGGAGATTGAGTTCCATCGCATCTCGCCACTTTTAGATGCTGTTTCGAAAGCCCCTCCAATGGTTGGCACCCCAGTGCATTCAGACTTTAATATCTCTACGGCAATGTTGTTGGCTGCAACCGAGTTACTCGGCCCGGAGTTTTTTGAGAACTAAAGTTTATGAAATTCCAACTTGAAATAACATTGTAAAATATTATGTAAGATACTCGGTCATGTGTATAGCTTAGCTTATAAACACCTGTAGTAGGTAATGTACAATGGGCTTCCCAACTTTTGTAATAAACACGCTGCTTTTATTGCTAGCTATCTTTCACCCTACCATGGTATTTATTTAGGGAACAAATCCACTGGGGTGTTTATTAAAAGATAGCAAGGGTATACCATATTTATGGAGTAAAGTATCTCCTTAGATGCATTGTGTTCCAAGTTCTTGACATGTCTTGACCATCAGGGAGTGATAGTTTTACAGTATTTGGTCCCACCACTTTACACACTTTGTAAGGACCCTCCCACTGGGGGGTGAACTTTCCTTGACTTGGAATGTGTGTGAAGTTTCTCCTCAGAACCCACTCCCCTTCTCTGATGGGTCGATTTCTCACCTTGGCGTTGTAGTAACGCGCGATCCTCTCTTTGGAAGCGGCGAGTCGCAAAAGTGCTTCCTCTCGACGCTCCTCGATGAGATGTAGATCATGAGTGAGCTCGATTTGATTTTCATCAGGGTGGAATGCTTGGATTCTGTAAGAGGAGAGCTCCATTTCAATTGGCAACACAGCATCGGTGCCGTAAGTCAAGGCGTATGGTGTCTCCCCAGTGGAAGTCTTGTAAGTTGTCCGGTGGGCCCAAAGCACATGGGGCAGCTTCTCAACCCATTGACCCTTGGCCTGGCCTAATCTGGTTTTTAGGCCCCATAGGATGCTTTTGTTAGCAGCCTCAGCTTGACCGTTAGCTTGAGGATAGGCCACCGAGGCATATCGAAGTAAGATTCCATATTGGGCGCAGTAGGCCTGTAAATCTTCGCTTGTGAATTGTGTCCCCTGATCCATGATTAGAGTGTGAGGGAGACTGAACCTGCATAAGATGTTTAGCCATAAAAACTTTTCAACTCTCTGAGTGGATATGCTAGAGATCGCCTCAGCCTCGATCCACTTGGTAAAATAATCAATGGCTACGATCAGCCATTTCTTTCGTCCGGGAGCAGTTGGAAAGGGTCCCAAAAAGTCCATCCCCCATTGGGCGAATGGCCATGGCCCGATGTTGACCTGCATTTTTGACGGAGGTGCATGAGTGGTTTGCGCAGCTACCTGACATTTGGGGCATGCTTGAGCATACTTTTGAGTGTCCCGCCGCATTGTGGGCCAGTAATAACCTTTTCGTAGAAGGGTTTTTTCCAAGCTACGAGGACCAGCATGCATCCCACATGATCCTTCATGTACCTCCTGTACGGCAAAGTGTGCTTCGCCAAGGCTAAGGCACCGCAGGTAGGGTCCAGCGAAGCCTTTCTTGTATAAATCTCCCTCGATTAGGAGGTAACGAGGGGCACGTCTCTTAAGGCGGATGGCTTCCTTCTGGTCAGCGGGCAGGAGCCCATGTTTTAGATATTCGATGAGAGGTGTTCGCCAATCGGATTGTGCTGGAAATGAGGTAACTTGGGCGCATAACATTGTTGGACGCCTTTCAATGATCACATGTCTCTCGTTGAGGAAGTCTTGTGCTGTTGCAAGTTTTGATAATGCGTCTGCATGAAGATTATCCTCACGAGATATGTGGACTATCTCCGCTTGAGGAAACTCAGAGAGTGCCATACGAGCGGCATTGGTGTATGGTACGAGCGCGGGCTCTCGTACCTCGTATGCCCCCTGCACTTGATTGACAACCAGGGCAGAGTCGGAGTGGACCCTAATTCGTTGAATGCCCAATTCTTGAGCCATAATCAGTCCCTCTAGGAGGGCTTCATACTCGGTGGCATTGTTCGTCATGGTGCTGGCAAAGCGAATGGCCAATTCATGAGTGACTCCGAGAGGGCTGATGAGCAAAACTCCTGCTCCTGATCCAGTTTTACTAGATGCACCATCAACGTACAATCTCCAAGTCTCTGTTTCTGGCGGGAGACATGCTCGAACACCTTCTGCAACAAAGTCAGCTAAAACCTGGGACTTGATGGCGTTGCGAGGGAGGAAAGTGATATCGTATTCACTAAGCTCGATGGCCCAGTTCACCATTCTACCAGCAACATCCATCCGCTGAAGTAGACGACGTAAAGGCAGTTGAGAAAGTATACATATGGGGTGGCTTTGGAAGTACAGACGCAGCTTTCGAGTGGCAACCACCACAGCTAGGGCGGCTTTTTCCACAGGAGAGTATCTTGTTTCAGCATCTAACAGGGTCTTACAAGTGTAGTAAATAGGATGCTCTGTATTGTCTGTATCTCGGCGAACGAGTACAGCACTCACGGCCTTGGAGGAGACAGCAAAGTATAAGTACAATGTCTCGTTGTTGATGGGAGATGAGAGTATTGGTGGATTCACCAAGTACTCCTTAAGTTCTGTGAAAGCTTTCTCACATTCCGGAGTCCACAGAAAACTTTTTCCAGCTCCTTTTAAGGTGTTGAAGAAAGGAACACACTGATCCCCAGCTCGTGAAATGAATCGATTGAGTGCCGCAATCCTTCCTGTTAGAATTTGTACTTCTTTATGCTTTTTAGGTGATGTCATCTGGAGAATCGCTTCAATTTGCCTAGGGTTAACCTCGATTCCACGTCTTGTCACCATGAATCCAAGAAACTTCCCTGCGGTGGCCCCGAAGACACACTTTTTTGGATTAAGGCGCAAGTTGTATCCTCGTAGGGTATCAAAAGTCTCGCGTAGATCTTCTAAATGTGCATGTGTCACTGCACTTTTGATTAGGATGTCATCTACATAGGCTTCAACATTTCGACCTAGCTGTCGGGCAAAGACTCGATCCACCATACGTTGATAGGTAGCTCCGGCATTTTTGAGGCCGAACGGCATCACCTTGTAGCAATAATTTCCTACCGGAGTCATGAAGGCAGTATATTTTTGGTCGTCCTTCTTTAGTGGGATCTGGTGGTACCCTGAGAACATATCAAGAAAAGAGAGATGGCGATGACCGGCGGTCGCATCAATAAGCAGATCAATCTTGGGCAAGGGATACGGGTCCTTCGGGCAAGCCTTGTTGAGATCGGTGAAGTCAACACACATTCTCCACTGGCCGTTGGCCTTTTTAACCATGACCACATTAGCCAACCATGCTGGGTAGAGAACCTCGCTAATGAAGCCGGCTTGCCCTAGCTTGATTACCTCCTCTGCTATGGCCTGGCGACGTTCCCATGCAAAGTTCCTTCTTTTTTGTTGGATGGGCTTGCTACCGGGGATAATCCCTAGTGTATGCTCGGCAACTTTTGAATCGAGACCAGGCATATCCTCAGGTCCTTGAGCAAAGAGCTCTTTGTACTCGATCATCAAACTGAGAAGTTGTGGGAGATAATTTTTAGGCCATGCCATGGATACATGAACGGTTCGCCCTTCTTCTAGTGTATGTTCTTCATCAGGGTCAACGGGAACGGGACGAGCGACCTCGTCTTTGGCTTCCATCGTGGCCACAAAGCCATCTTTAAGGGAGAACTCACAACACTGTCGTGCAAGAGCTTGATCTCCCTTCACACACCCGACTCCGGCAATAGTTGGGAACTTCAATTTTAAGTGCAAAGTTGAGGGTATAGCCCGAACTTGATGTAGAAAAGGGCGCCCGAGAATGCAGTTGTATGCAGAAGGGAAATCAATAACATGGAAGTTGATTGTGTTCTCCACGGTTTGTTGGTTATTGCCAATACGAACTTGGAGTGGGAGAATTCCCAGAACTGGGACTTGATTTCTGGAGAAGCCCACGAGGTAAATGCTAGGAGGGTGACATTTGTTTAGTTGAAGAACCATGGACTTGAAAGCTGGGTAGAATAAAAGATCTGCAGAGCTTCCTCCATCAATGAGGACTCGTTGCACAGAATAGTTTGCAATTACTGCCTTAATGACTAAGGCATCATCATGAGGATACTCGATATCTTCAAGATCCCTATCGTCGAAAGAAATGGGAATTTGTGTGGTAGAAGCGGAACCGACCAACCTTGGGGCACCGGTTGAGCGAGAACCAACTTGTTCGGATAATTTGACCCCGCCATGAATGACAGGAACATTTCCCAATATCGATCCACTTCCCTGTGGTGCTTTTCCTTTGTCTATTATTGGAGGTGAAGGGAGAATAGGGGGACGAACATTCTTTACAAAGTCTCGAAGATAGCCTCGTTGGATAAGTCCTTCAATAGAGTGCTTGAGGGTGTAACAGCTTTCTGTATCATGTCCCGTACATCGGTGAAATTCGCAGTAGAATTGTTGGCCCTTTTCTGAAACCCTCATAACTGGAGGAGGTTGAGTAATGGGAATTTTCTTCTCTCGAATGACCTGAAGAATGGCTTGTCTAGAGCGATTGAGAGGAGTATAGCTTTGTTGTAACTGGGTAGCTTCCCTTCTGGAATTTTGGGAAGAGTTTCGGCCCTCGGTTGTAGGAGCTTGACGTTGTCGGCGGGAATCTTGGGATGAAGTCTCTTGTTTTCTTTTGGATCCTGCCCGACTAACCTCCTGAAGTGCTTCTTCTAGATCAATATATTTTGAAACTCGCTCTTGAAGCTCCATAGTGCTGTGGGGAGCCCGTTTTGCAAGAGAAGCATATAAATCAGTATTGATAGTCCCTCGCATCAGGGCATTAGTGGCAATCTCCATGGAGATGGACGTTAGTCCGATGGCGATGTTACTATATCGAGTATAGTAAGCCTTGAGTGTCTCATCATCACGCTGCCTGATGCTGAGGAGTTGATGGATGCTGATAGGTTGTTTTTTTTGTGCGTATAATTTGCATCTGAAGAGAGTGGCAAATTCGAAGAAGCTGGAGATAATACCATCTTGTAACTTTGAGTACCATCGTCGGGCATCTCCACGGAGTGTTGCTGGGAAGATTTTGCACATTGTTGCATCAGATGCTCCGATTAATGGCATTAGGATTTGAAAAGAGCAAAGGTGGTCTTCTGGATCTGTGGTGCCATAATACTCTGGCAAGCTTGGTAAATGAAGATTTGATGGGTAGGGCTCATCCTGCACGATTCTGGATAGAGGTCCTCCTACTCCGGTTGAAGTGACAACTCCGTGTCCTGGGGAGGGTTCGAGCAGATTGGCTGAGAGACTCGGAGCGGTTAATCCAACAGGTGCTGATGTCGCATTTGGTGGTTCATTGATCGAGCCATGGGCAACAACTCTCTCCTGGTCGTTTGGTGTCGGTACTCTGGAGGAACCAGGAGCGTTAATATGGGAGGCCTCTCTGGCTCTGAGTTGAGCTCTGAGTCGCTCAATCTCAGCCTGCATCTCACGTACTTGTGCCGGAGTAGGGGGAGAATTCCTTCTGGTGTCGGAATAGAAGTAGTCTGTGCAAGTGGCACCACTCGAGGCTCTGTATTTTGACTCGGTGCATCGCTGAGTGGTGAACGGGGGGTTGGGTTGCCCCCAGTCTCGATTACTCTTAAAGAGCGACGCACTGCTTCAATGGTAGGAATACTGGGAGAGCCTTGGGTATTCATCACGGCTGGGTGGTGGTTTGTGAAAACTTTGGAAATATTCTTCTCACCGGGCCCCACGGTGGGCGCCAATTGTTGATGCCAAGCTTAGAGCAGCCTGCTTCAATATGTTTAAGATCCGGAGAGCGCTGATTTCCCAAAGCCTTTAACCACCTCCAGCTCCGTGCGAATACCTGGAAAAAAAAGGTCCCACCGGGGGGGTCCTGGTTGGAACCTCCTCCGACGCTCAAATTAGTAATCTGAATGGAATAAAATAAATACGATGACGTTAGACCTGGTTCGGTCCCACGGTCGTAATTGAGCGTCGTCGGCTATTTAATGCCGCCCGGTGGAGACTATCCACGATTCCATGGCTTAGTCCGCCAAATTGAGGGTGTGTTGAGTGTTTAGAGGTTTAACACGTTTTGGGAGACCGAGAGGAGAGAGAAAACGTTTTTAGAGAGAGAAAGTAGAGAGAGAGTGTATGTGTGAGTTGTGTTGTGTGAAGTAGTCGTAAGCGACTTATGTGGTGGTGTGTGTGTGAATTGTTGTTTAGAAAGGGGGAGAGGTGCTCCCTATTTATAGGAAAAAATAGTAGTTGAATTCCTCAACTTACGTTAACATTCACCAACATTCTCCGCTATACTCCAATATTCTCCGTCATACCCCAACATTCCTTATCAAGTATAGTATTTGAGAAAGTGTAAGGGTGTATGTGAAAGTAGGAGAAGTATAGATATGTAGTGGAAATTGAGGGAAAGAGTAGTGATGGAAATTGTATGTATGTGTATGCATGAACATGCATGAAAATGTAGGAAATGGTAGGGAGAAGAAGGAATTTTACCTAAGATGGAGTGTGGAAAGAAATAGGAAGGGAGGGAGATGAGGTGGCGCCTGCCACTTGTGGGAGAAAGGGAAGGAAAGAGGAAGAAAGTGAAGGAAAGTTGGGAAAATGGTGTCTGTGTCTTATTTCTCATGTGGACACATGTGGACAAAACAAATGGGTGAGAGGGAAAAGGAAGGAAGAATAAGACAAAAACAATGGTTATGGAAAAGTACAAATAAGGGGTTAAGGAAAAAATAAGAAAGTGAGTAAAGGAAAAAAAACAATAACAGTAGTTAAAGGAAAAAAACAATGAAGGATTCTGATGGTATAATACAAATTTTCGGGTATTTCGGGTACCGCAATAATTAACAATTTATCGAGTGTATTAATGAAAGGGCAGGTGTTTAATATTTTTAAAATTTTATCGGTTAAGAACTGGGTCTATCATGTATATTTCTCAAAAAGTGGCTATTATTGTCACAAACACTAAAGTTTTAGCTATAAAATGTATGTATTTTGCCCATGGTTCAAAAAGGCACGCTTAACTTTACGCTTAGGCACGCCTAGGCGCAAGGCAATGGCAAAACGCCTCGCCTAGGAGTTTCGCCTAATTAGATACTGGAACACGTAAATGGAGTAAGGCAACATATAAGTCTCTCCTAAACATTACTAGATGGAGCTAGGAAGTCAATTTAAAGAACAAAAGTAACATCAACTACGAAATCAATTTTTTATTGCAATATTTTCAATAGCTCATGAACTTTGTGAGCTATTGAGGTATGATTCTATGAATTCGTGAGCTATGTTCTTGTCATTAAGTGTTGAGTAAGTTTTAAATCATTTTAATTGAAGTGAGGAAGTGTTGTAGATTATTATTTCATTCATCATACAGTGCGAATATCTATTTCTCTTCCAACGCCTAGGCATGCTTAGTCTACGCCTAGGTAAACTAGGCGCAAGATAAAGGCTCAACGCCCACCTTGCGCCAAACACCTTTTTGAACCTTGATTTTGCCTAATTCTAATGAGCATGGTTGTCAAACCGGTCTCATGCCGGCCGGTTCAACCGGGTACAACCGGTACCGGTCACCAAACCGGCTGGAAAGAGGCCGGTATTTAATTGTGGTCAAATCCGGTCAATACCGGTCAGACCCGGTCAATTCCGGAAATTCCGGCCGGTTAGACCAGAAACCGGAATTCAATTTTACACCTATTTTATCCAAAAATAAATGCCCTCCTTAGGATTTGAACCATGTACCTCATGTTCATTTTAGACTCTCTTATACACCAGTAGACTACAAGCAACTTTGTTTTATATATTAACCTTATACATTATATATCTAACACTAAATTTTACACAAATCATTATAAATATTAATAAAATTCATTTTAAATACTTTTATTTTTAAGCATCTAATTGTTTAGTATTAGTTACCAATTCTTAGCTATAAATTATTTTGTGTGAAATAATTTTTCTAATTGCTTTTTGATGACTAATTTATTTGGAATTGAGGATTTTCATTTGTCTCATATATTTTATTAAAACCGGCATAACCGGCGTGAATACTGGTTGTACCACGGTCGGACCATTCCACTTTCAAAACCGGCACACCGGCATAACCCGGTTTGACAACCTTGCTAATGAGCAAACTTGGAATTTAGCCGAAAAGAAAGAGATAGAAGTCCATCATTGTACCGTTTGCATATTTGCATGAGTGGTGAACGTGGCGATGGCTGGGGAACTCTCAAAGCGGCAAAGCTCACACGCGGCTTTCGGAGGAGCCAAAATTGGCAGACAGTGGCAGTCGGCTCCTTGAGATGCTCAACACACAACACAGCAAGACCCACGGCTGCCAATGCCATCTCCTTAATCCTCCTCTCTTATCCTCCAGAGTTCAGTCTCTGCGCATTCCGCCGAGCAACCGCCGTCGTCACTCATTCGCCAGTTCTAACCTGTCTCTCCCCACTTCCCAACGCGCGTCACTTCCCAAAAGCCCTAAACCCTTCCCATTCTCTCTCTTCATTTTGAAATCCCATTTGAGCCCCTCCTTACAGAGAAAGACAGAGGCTTTGTGTTATTTTCATTCTGCGTTTCTGTGGTGTTGATGTCCCCGTCTAATTTTCCAGCGACGGGGAAGATTCGAACATGGAGGATGTGGATCAGCAGCAGTACCGTGACATTTCCGGATCCGGGTTGGGTTCAGAGTCCGAAACCCACTACTCAGGCAAGGCCGGTAGGATCATGAACCAAGGATTAACACTGGGGAAGAAGATTTTGGTCACTGGATTAGTGGCCACTTCAGCGCCAGTGGTTGTCCCTTCAATTCTGGTCATTTCGGCTCTTGGATTCGCTTGTTCTTTGCCTTCCAGCGTTTTCTTAGCAACCTATCTCTTCACCGAGTCTCTCATGTCCAAATTGCTTCCTCTCCAAACCCATCATCAGATTCCTCCTGAAGAACAACATGAAGGGATTGAGGATTCCGGTGACCTGGGGAAGTACCAGAAGATTTCAGGGGAGGGAATAAGAAGGCAAACCCTCGATCCGATTGAAGACGAAGAAGACGAAATTGTGGACGAAAATCAAAATGGATATACAGACGGTGATGTTGGAGAGTATATGAAGGAACACAGAGATGAAGAGACATTAAATATGGCCGTGAAGATGCATCCGATTAGTGGTATTGTGGATATAGAGGAGGGAGATGGGGTCACTCCTGTTGCCGTTGCTGCAGTGCCAATCGAGGTGAGGAGTGTGGTTGTGGAGGTTTCGGAGGGCCATGTTGATGTTGATGAGAATGAGGAGCTTGCGAAAGGGACAACCGGGTTGCTTGAAAGTGCTAGGGATGAAGGCCTCCCTCAGAGTCCAGCTGAAGTGGACAAGAAAACGACCGAAGGTAAGTGAGAGTCATTTTTCTACGACATGGGTTGTTGTGAATGTCATCTGAGTGTCTTTGGGGTTTGGTGTATGTTGCTAATTAGTTGTTTGGTATTTTCTTGCATACAGCTGCTGCATCTGCCGAAACTGGGAAGCAGACGCAGGACAGTACTGCTGCTGCTCCCTCCGCCACTGCTGCTACCGAGTCCAATGACGGTAGAAATGCCAGCCAAAATGGTTCCACTGAGGTATAAACCTGAGTTTTTCTTACCCTCCTTGCAGTCATGTATATTTAGGGCTTACTTGGCGTGGAAGTAGTCATTCTGATCTATTGTTTGGGAAGTAGGCTACATGAGACATGACTTGGATATAGATTTTAGGATTCTGTCTAGTTCCTGCTTCACATTGTTGCCAAAAGATGGGAATTTGGGTTAGGTGCCTGCCACCAATGCAGTTAAAAGCGTGATTCTACCTAGAAGCGGAAAATGGGTAAAATCGTAAAACGTAGAATCAAAGCATAAAAGCGTAAGTTTTTTACGCACCCTCTAAAATAGCTAAAATATAGCTAAAATATGTTAAATACAACATATAATATGTAAAATGTGAGTGTGTAGATTTTAGATAAGTGAATAACTACATGAAATTCATAATTAAAATGTAATATCTAGCAAATAAACTAATTTGTGTTGACTCAAAAGTAGAGAAAACTCATCACATCTTAATAATAAGCTCATAAATGTAGATCGTAATCCGTAAACGAGCTTGAGAATCCAAATTCTCATAAGCTGGTTTGAGTTTACATAATTACATAAAATCAATTACCAATAAACTTTTATCGTAACCCAGGTAAGAGCCACAGGTGAAGATTAAGGGAGAAGACTGATAGAAGGTCAGCGGCTGTTGAGAATACCATTACGTGTCTTTTCAACCTAATGTGAAGCCCCTATCTCGACACTAGTTGTAGAACGAGAGATGAATCATGTTTTTTTTCTTCTTTTTTTGCTGATATGTTTCCAAAATTACATCATCTTGGGCCAATTAGCACATTTTTTATGAGATGATCAAAATCGTATAAAAACGCTTCAGAATCTTGATTTTACCCATGTTTTTACCAGTTTTTGTGACTGAGCGACTTTAGGTAGAAACTGAAACGTTTTGGTGACCTAGATACGTAAAAGCGTAAGTTTTTACGTTTTAATGCGCGATTTTGACTGCCTTCCTGCAACAGATGCCAACTGTTTTAAGTTCCAGAGGCACAACTTCGGTCTTTTTGTTTGGTCGAATATTGATGCGAAGTTTATCTTCTTTGTTGAACATGAATGCTTAGAGTAGAACCATCTAATGAGGGTGTATCCCTTCTCCGTTGCACTATTGTTCTGCTGTAATTGAAACAATGTGAAATCATGTTTGCTGGTTTTGTCTGACACTTCTCTTCCCCCCTTTCTTTTGTTCTTGTTTTGCTGTGATGCAAAATAAAGTCTTCCAGAAGGCTTAAAAAGAAGCAACCGAAAACTTCCAAGAAACAACCCTCAAGGAGCTAGCTCAATTGAGGATGTATTTCATTTCAAGATTGATAGATTGAGAGTGCCACTAAGAAGAGGTCCACATTGCTTAGATCCTGATACAGAGCTCTTAGTTCTCCATCTGGGCTTGGGGGGAGAGAGGTGTGAGTTAGTGGACAGAGAGTTGAGCTTTTGTGGTAGCACAGTGTAATAATCAAATTGCTATATCTCGAATTTCCTGAGATGTTTGTGGTGGATGAAGAAAACTGAGCATAATGGATGCCATATGTTCATGGTCATCATACACATTTCACCTAAATAGATCACTGCAAGGGAGGGAAGCTGCATAGTCTACAAGTAAAAGGAAAAAGGCTTTTCTGTTGGTTGATGGTCATTGTGAAAATGCAGGTACTTTTGAGCAATGAGAGGATATGGGAACAGATCAACGCCTTGCGCGTAATTGTGGGATATACAGCTTCCAGGCAACCAACATTAATGGAAGAGCTCAGCGCCCTATATGTTTTCACTGGAGTTGTGCCGCCTGTTGCATCATTCAACGACCCTTATGATCTGGTGGAGGTGAACGCGAAGCTCAGGAATCTCAAGTTGATTGTTGGAGTGAAATGAGAAGAGGCAGCATGCAGAATAGCATTGTCAACTGTGTTTATACTTTTGGGTTTCGCTTTTAAACGTTACCAAACAATAATAAAATGCATGTATAACGCAAGTCGCCTTGCTTAGGAATGCAAGGCGTTAGATGGCGATTCCATTTTGCGCAAACCTTTGGAGAAGCCATATTTACCTCGAGCGAAAATGGAACCTCTACTTGCTGGCTGCTAGGAAGGTCGGTCATGGGTACCAAAAACTGAAGTTCGGATGATCAGTAGAAGGAGATGCTGTATAACAGTTTCCGTCAGTGCTTTGCTTCGAATGTGGCAATGACTTCGTCGATTGGGAACGCAATGCATTTTCAAAATTGCGATTCTACCGGAAAAGGTGTAAAATCATAAAAACATATTAGTCCGTATAGATTATTGTCAATGGTTAGCACGTGTTGACAACTACCCATTCTAAACCAAATTTAACCTAAAATGACATTGTCGTATAGTGGTAATCAATGTCGTATTTTACTCGGGTCCTGGTACCCTAACCTACTTTCCACCTAGTTGTTAATTAGTTAATCGGTTTTGGAGGTTTGAGTGGAGGATTACAGGGAATTACTAGTTTAGAGATTGAATAAATCTAAAAGCGGGTACTTCGGGAAACTATCCATCACCGTAGTCTAGGGTTACTATGTTTATCTAGATACGTAATGTGATGATTGAGCTTGTTTCCGTGGGCTTTCATGGTTGTCCACACACCTCCGAGTACACCTCCCCGAGACCCATATAAAGTCACCTCAATATAGACTACCGTATCTGGGACACTAAGCTCATAGCTCTTTTCAATAAATACTATCCACCGTTCACACCGAGGTTTCATCTCGGGTTCTATCTAGGAAGGTTACCTATAGTAGAGGTTCGGTTACCTCGACCACCATAGGTCCCTATTCATACATCTACCTCGATTTGCTTGATGATGCATACCCCTCTAACCCTAGAACTCCTTACCCAATATAGAAGCGTAAAGTAGGCTAATATAGAAGATTATGGTGACTTACCCAAACACAATTAAAGATAGAATAGCAATAGAATCAACTAGATAAACACATTCATTCATTCAAACCCTAAAATATTCATACATATATAGTAAACCCTAAAACTAGCGTTTGGGGTTTAGAACCCCTAGTACCTTAGAGGACTACTACATAAAGGAGGGATGAAGATACATAGAAGAAATTAAAGAAGACTTGAGGTTTCGGAAGATGCCTCCTCTCTTCTAGCTCCTTCTCCTTCCTTCAGCTTCTCTCTCTTCTCTCTCTAAAACCAGAAATTCTTCTCTCAAAATCAGCTCTCTTAAAAGAGCGAAAGGGGTCTCCTATTTATAGGCAATCAGAAGACAAACAAGTTCGCAGCCAGAATTGCAGAGATCGTGGACGGGATCTTCAGATGAGAGGTCGCGATCTTGAAACGCAGTCGTACTGGCCTTCGGGATTGAGGAGATCGCGGGTTGACTTCACGGTCGCGGCCGCAATTCTTCACGGTGAAAATGCACTATGGCCGTGATTCGACTGGGAAAACTCTCTATTTCTCCTCGACTCCTTCTTCACGAAGTTCACGCCCTGAGCCCTCCAATTCGCGGCCGCGATCTTGGTCTTCCAGGCCACAATCTTCAGCTTGTCTTCGCGATCCAGGATCTCGACCGTGATCGTTACTTCTAGGCCACGATCTTCAGTGTTCTGCCCCCTTGCTACACTTGTGACCTTTTTTTGTACCTAATTCGCATATATAGTCTAACACACCCTAAAATCACATCGAATTCAAATAGGAACGGAATAGGGATGCAATTGACGTTGTTTAAGCATTTATGCACATGAATTGGCACATAAAAAACCTCAATATGAAGTGTAAATAATACCAATTTAGGTGTTATCAAACTCCCCCACACTTAGGTGTTTGTTTGTCTCCAAGCAAAAGTAATGCAACATTATAGACAAATCAACGGGGAATGCACTCTAGTTCTTCATTGCATAAAGAAGAGTAGATGGAGATGAATGAACGTTACTATCATCTTAATGTGCAAGCATAAACTCTCGTGTGAGAACCATATCTACTACCTTAGACAGAAAATTCAAGGTGTGCTCCGAGGGATTCTCTAACATAAATAAGCATAAGAACTCTCGAAGGTGCTTTTTATTCTCTCTTTAGATTTAGGAGTTGTTTATTGGTTTCCTTTTTCAACATTAATGCCCATTGCACCAAGCTTTTGCAATTCTTTTGCCAACAAACATCTCTCCCTCATGACCAAGAGCAGATGAATCATAGCCTTGCCTTCAAGGTCACACGTGGGGAAGTTGATGGGCGAATTCGTCTTAGCCCGAGCACCACTTCCCAGCATGCACTCCACATTCGGTGGCCACACATTTTGGGTACAAACGAGAGCTATGAGGTCTTACGAATTCGCTAAAAGGTACTTTGGACCTTGGCATACGGTTCCGTGAGGAGGAAAGGTGCATGGGGGATGGTAAGTAGTGAAAGATGGTCGGGACGCGGTAAAGCTATCCGATCCCCGTGCATATCCTCAAAGGGCACTCTGAATCCGTGATGATTGGTTGCCTCTCACGTGAGCTCATTTTCAAAAGATTTTTCTCTCTTTTCTTTTTTTCTAATGCACACAAATCTTTTAAAAGCTTCGAGTTCAAAAATCAAACAAAAAGAGAATCCCGCACACATGTTCTTCCTAAAATAGCACATATTATCGACTCACAAAAGAGGAAGAAAATAGTAAATTACTCACACACCGATACTCTAATCATGAAACCATTACCTAACGAGCATAACACATCAATCATCTAACAAATAAAGCATATTGAGTAGGTTGTTGCAAGGAACAAGGTATTTTGGAACCCTCAAATTTGAAAAAAATTGGGTATAGCATTTAAGGTTCCAAAATAATATCATTTGACCATTGATCACCACAATGCAAACAAAATTTCTAGCACATACTCGCATAAATATTCATCAACATCTTACATTCATAAACAAGGGAGGATTCTAGCCATTTATGGTTCAACCAATCATGATATTCATTCACACATTCATACACATCCCCCCACACTTGAGCAACACATTGTCCTCAATGTGGGAGTTTTATAAGAGAAGATCGTGAAGGTTACCATAGGTTTGGTTGTGGGTTGGTGAAGGTACACTAGTGTAGGTCTTTGTCTTCCTAGTGGTTTTCACAACGATAAAGCGCATAAGATAGAGAGGAAGACTATTAAGAGTTATAAGTACGATAGATAGATAGATATATAATATAAGTACTAATACTACAAGTGCTAAAATATTTAAAGTACGAAAAGTAAATGAAAAATAAAGCAATAATTAAACATTATTTTAATTAAAATAGAGAAAAGCAAAGAAAAAAAAAGATAGAACTTAGGCCCCGGATGCCTAGTACTCAATCCTCCTCCTCTGGTCCTTTTTCTTTTTCCTGTAGTGGCACAAGGAGAGTGAAATGATCAAATCGGGCATGTGTATCCTCGGTGGGAATGTTCATCTTCTCCATGATTGCGTGGAGGCACGTCGTAATATGTAGCATTGCTTCCGTCCTCCTCTCTTGGTTGTGAAGGATTGGCGCTATCATTGCTTCAGTTCGGTAGTCCCTTGCATTGTTGAACTGTTGGTTAACCACTTGAGGCGTGGGTATGGGTGACTCTCCTCCTTCATATATGCTCTCCACTTGATCTCCCTCGGTTTCAAATCATCTTCCCTCTCTTGCCATCATAGCTTCTGGAAGACGGAACACGGTTCCTTCCATGTCCAACGTATTAGAGGTTGGAAACGGAAGTCCTTGTACTACCCAAATGCCATCGTCGTTCCTGTGTTGAACTTTGAGTTTCAAGACTTCGAAGAATATAGGAGTGTTCCTACTATCCAATCAAAATTGGACGGCCCCGCAGTCGACTTGGAAAAACTTGGCTAGACGAGTGACAAAAACTCCTCCGTGAAGTGCGGCGAGCCAATGATCCATCTCATAAAGCTTGAAGATAGATAAGATAGCCAAACCGAGATGTAGAGATCGGGGTAGATGCATACTATAAAAGAAGGTGACGTCTCGGGCAGTTAGGTTACCTTTGCCCCGGTTCTTTCCTTCACGTGGTGAATGAGCCGCCACTCTTGTTTCACTTCACTTGCTTTTGATAGCTTGACATCCCATTGTCGACTGTTGGATTTCTTGACCTTAGATTCATAAAATTCCTTGAAACAAGGGAAGTCGGATTTCCTTGTCAAGGTAGCAAAGGTGTTCGTTGAATAAAGCTAAAAGCAGGTACTTTGGGGAACTATCCCTCATCCTAGCCTACGGCTACTATGTATAACTAGATACTTAGGGTTATCAAATGTGGTGACTATAAGCTTGTTTCCCTGGACTTTCATGGTTATCCACACACCTCCGAGTACGCCTCCCATAGACCCATATAAAGTCACCTCGATCTAGGCTATCGTATCTGGGACACTAAGCTATAACTCCTTTCAATAGATACTATCCACTGTCCACACCGAGGTTTTATCTCGGGTTTTATCTATGAAGGCTACCTATAGCAGGGGTTTGGTCGCCTCGACCACCATAGGTCCCTATTCCACTACAAGAAAATACACTTTCAATCACGGGAACTTTCGATCACAGGTATACACCCATGACCAAAAGTGAATTACTATCACGGCCAAATAATCCCATGACAATTGATTGTTAAACGATATTTTGAGGTTAGGTTCCGTGACTGATTGTGGGTGGGAAGGAAACAAAAAATTTGATTCCCTCCTCCCTCAAAGTCATTCCCACTTTCCCTAAAAAATTTGCCTACTGAAAATTTTCAAGTTGCCCGCCCTTAACTTTTGGGGTTTAGTTTTCTTAAAATATATTAAAGCAGTTTTAGAATTGAACCTATGCCACATCAGCCTAAAACAATTTTCGTGTGTCCACGTCAGTAGTCTTTAAAACAAGCCCCATATTCTCTCTCCTAAACCGCTCCTAAACTCTCCTATTTTTTTCCGTCTTTTTACGGTAGAAAGAGGAGAGAGAGATTATAGGATAGTTTTAATTTTTTTATAATTAGTCATCCAGAAAAATTAGGGGTGGTGAGATTATGGATTAAAAAAATCTTTCATAGTCATTTAAAATCTTGGACAATCCATCATAAAAGATTGTATAAACTTTTTATTTTTCTCCAATAGTTAAACATTTTTCCTATATAATCTAAGTCTATGAATGATAACAATTATCCATATTA